TTTGTCATTACCAGAGTTTTTGTCATGCGTGCTCGGGATGTAGCTTTGTTAGTCTTTAAAATAGGTTGTAACCCTTGCACGCGAACAGAGTAAGCGAGAGCTCGTGAAGTGGATGCGTCAGAGTGGATGAGGCTGCAATATTCAAATGCTGTTAGGGAGGATTTTCTCGTCCGCAGAGAATGCATAGACCTTGGAGCTGTCTTGGATCAACACGGTGCATTCAAGCGTAGTGTCGGGCGTAGGGTCTGAGATTTGGATTCCGATTGTCTTTCTTGCAGCGTAATCTCAAGCGTGCCTATCTCATTCTTTTGGATATGCTATGATGAATATATTACGACAAAAGATCTATAGTTATTAAGTTACCTATAGTTATAATAAAAAAAAGGATAAAATTCAAATTTATTATTAATTTATTATTAATAGATTAGAGCTAAAAGGATTACTTCTAGATAAACTTAAATCGCGAGATTTAACTGTATAATATCAATAATATAAGTATAATAGATTAAGGATAAATGTACGGAGCTCTCTTAGATATAACACTCGTATATCAGATAATACGGAACAATAAACATTTGAGGGAGTAAAAAGTTGAGAGAATTTTTCCAATAAATATTACGCTCTCCCTTCGCCTGATAATTCATTCTCCAGTTATTGATACTGTCAGAAAGATAATTATTTCCACCGTTTTCACCGCTGGAATAACGAATAGCAGAAGAGATAACAATAACAAGACTACAGTAATGTATTTTTCAGACGGTAACATAGATTTATTTCTTGTAGATTTGAGATGCTAGCTTTCCGTAAATAGATGTGCAGTGTCGTTCACAATAACTTGAATATAAATATATATTCTGGTGTTTGGTGTATTCTATCTTTTAATATGCATGTTTTATTGTTATATATTATTAATAATATTTTACAGAATTAATAATATTCTATACTAATAATATTAATAATATTCTATATTAATAATATTAATAATATTCTACTGTAGAGCTTAGAAAATAAAGCTATGAAGTAAAATGACCGAGATTGACATTGTTAGAAGCAAAAGATAAGATACTTAAATAACCGAAAATTGTGTCGCAATTATTTCTCGTGAAACTTACACGTGTGAAAATGTTATATAACTATGATAAATGCGAAAAAGAGGTCCTTATACGAATTAAATATCTAAAAATAGCTGTGCCACCGAGTGTACGCGATATTTAGTACGGCGAACATTTCGGAGATATATTGCCTCTGCGGGGCAAAAAATCCGCCAAAAGGCACCATTACGTATATATATGCGTTTTAAACTGTTAACGCGGATTTAAGATCGGCGATAAATTTGCATCCGAATGCAGAAACGACGACGAGACGCATCCCAGCGCGTTGTATGCGAAAAGATCGTAAAAAGAGTATTCGCAGATTTATGCTTCCGCGACGATCTCGCCGCGGAAAAATTCAGAGGCTGTATTGAATCCTTTGCGAGTCGAGAGATGCGTGTATTTCATGAAAGTTATAAATCCTCGTTAAGAGCAGGTTACCCGCGTATGGGTTAAATAATACCGGTAACTTTGAGAGAAATTACCGCGAATACATTACATGCATTCCCATCGGATGCGACCGTATTTCGCTTTAGCAACGAGCCGTAATTTACTGGCGTTTTCACTAATAAATATCGTTAATACGTACACGCTGTATATTTCTCATCGATCGCGCAACGTAAACCGATGAAACTAAATATAAAGACGCTTTGTTCACTAGAACGTAAACACATAAATAATTTCGTTTGAATTGCTATTCATGTGACAGTATCACATAGGTCGTGCATAGACTAAACGTAGACAAATTTGCAATTTCCGATAATTTTTGCGGTAAATTAAATTCAATTATATCGGGTTTCAAAGCAATAATTACGCCAACGCTAGCAGTGCGTACGAGTAGTGCATCTTATTATATATTCTTATCAGGTTAAAATTAAATTCATAATTCTGTGTTAAAAATTTATATTGAATAAATTCTAGATTAAATTTTCAAATAAATTTGCAATTAATAACGTGACGGAAAATTATCGCGCAGAATTCGTTAGTCAATTAAGGCTGCGATTGTCATCGTGTCTAAGTGCTTTTGTTCAATATTGAAAGTTCCTGTCGGATCGCTTTGACGAGCGACCATTAATCTTTCGGTTTCATTCGATCGATCGTCATTGCGTCATTTATCACATCATTCGCCGGGTTGCAGCCCGTGACTCGTGACATTTCGAGTTTCGGCGGGCGCCCCTACGATGAAAATGACGGTGTTTCGCGCAATGTTGCCCCCAGAATGGGGAAAGACAACAAAAAGAAGGGCGCTGCGCACGAGCGAACACGACGCGTGCTGCACTCCTCGCATCCGGCTGTGCAATATCGTGACGAATATCCGACGGGCGATGATAATACGAGTCTGAATAATAGCTTTGCGCGAAAAAATGTGAGGGACTTTGAGCGGGAAAAATTTACAGGAGCGCGCATGCAGGTTGAGAAACGCGTCTAGAAAGGATGAAGGGCGAGATCGGTGATCGAAAAGTTTGCCCGAGTCGCTTTGTCGTTTCGTATTTCATTTTCTTATGTACAAAGTAGAATCGGATGCAATCTTGATTACGGATATTAGGAACAAACTAAGAAAATAATGAGTTGTTTGAGTGAAGAGCGACGCGATCCTTGGGGAAGTTGTTCAATATTGAACATTACAAAGCTTTGAAGAACTAAGTCTCAAGAGAGGGAATGTAATTATAAAATGTAATATATATATATATATATATATATATATATATATATAAATTTTGATTTTGAATTTATTTCAAGCGGATTTTACTTTAATAGAAATTTTAAAAGACGTAATTGTGTTAAAATATTCGAAGTTGAAGAGTATAATTTTGAATGTCGGTATACAATTAAATTTCTCTTTACTGAAAAATTATTTCTATCTAAATCAATACGATTCTACTATTTCGTCTCGTATTCTTCTGGATCAATAATTCTCACTCTTCCGTTATTGGTGTCACTCTAAATACGTATCTTAAATCAAGATACATCTTTTATTTATTTCTTCTCTTTTAGCTTAATTTTATTATAATTCTTAGATAAATATGCAAAAAAATAATTTTAATTTTAGAAACTATAGAAAAGTTTTATTGATAAAATTTTATGAATAATTTATTGATGCATCTTAATTGAACATTCTTATTATTAATAAATAATATTCTTATATGTAAAAAATATTAATTCTATTTCTAATTTTTATCAAAGCAATTTGAAGATACTTTTTAATTAAACGCAATTAGTTGCGTATAAAAATTTGCTCTGTATAAAATAAATGTGTTCTATATAAGAATAAAGGCAAGGTTGCAAGATCACGGTTTCTACGTCGTGGCACAGAAATGTCCACGAAATCAAAGGCGAACGAAAATAGACGTGAAATCCACGCATACTAGGTAGACCTGGTGTCCATTTCGTACATGTTTAGCGCGAGATTACGACATTTAGGATGCCGGGCGTTCGAGGTACGCCAAGATGAATTTTAGGCACGTCCTGATGTCGTGCGAAATAGGGCCAGGAATCGCGATCGGTTACGATATCGTATGGTTGCGCATTCGCGACGAGGAGAGATCGAAACTTTATCCCTCGATGTACCAGATGCAATTATTCATCCGTGTTTCGTATATCTTCCGGTTCATTAACGAGCTCGGTCGGTCCACCACCTCGATCTCTTATCGCAGCTTCACCGCTCCTGACGAGCTATGCAAATAAAACGGTTCGTCGGTAGTTGAGCAAAAAGGACGGAAAAGGAAAAGCTAGTTACGCAACATTGAGTAATTTTCAAATGTCATTAAACGCCACCGTTTCGATAAAACGCTTCTACTCCATCGATCTTCCTCTCGCGACGTTTTTCGCGTCTTCCCCAGCAAAGTTTCGTGTGCCAACTCACGTATCACCCAGGCGATTGCTATACGTTGCCCATGTTTTATTAGAGACTTTTCTCCAATAAGGATGATGGCATGTTTATTATCCATCCCGTAGGTTTCCGTGGGTTTGCGATTTTGTGAGAATGAGACGTATGTTCGCGAATGACTCTCAATTTTCGTGAAGCTCGCCCATCAAGTAACAGCTTTCCAAGTCAAACCTAACGAAATGCCATCTTCGCGAAGCGCAAGTTGTCGGAATTCAATCGTTTGAATGACGAACGAAAGATTAATAGTCACCAATTAACAATCGCAACAGTCACGAATAAGTATCTCGGCGATTGAATCATCGCGAAAGCCCATAAATCCGTGAAAATACGCGATTCATCGCGCGCGTTCCTTGGCAGACGCGAAGACAGGGCCGCGAGGTTAACGAGAAAAATCGCGCGATAAAGAATCAGATTCGCGTTTTCGCCAGATCCCTGCTCCCTTCGCGGGTGTAATACGTCGTAAGAAATCTATCTCGGGGGGAGGGGGGGTCTTCCCTATCCGGCGAGTATCGTTCGCCAAGAATCCGCAGGTCATCGAATCCGAGAGGCAACCCCGTCGCGCCACCCCCTCGAGTCTCGGCGACCATCCCCGCCGCGTTATCTTCATTCTCGATCGTGGATGTTAGGGTGACGCGCGCGAGGGCAACTTGAACGGCACGCAGGCAACGTACACGAGCGAAGCGTGACTCGTGCGCGCGCGCGCGCGCGCAGCCTGCAACCCCTCGAGGGGGGTGAGGTTCCTCATGGCGGCGGCGGCGGCGGCGGCGGCGGCGATGGTGGAGTCGTCTACATCGAGGGGTGAGGAAGGGCGAGTCGAGTAGCGCGCGTACGAAAGGGGGAACGAAAGGGGATGTGGCGGAAAGACGACGGACAGAGAGAGCGAGAGAGAGGGAGAGAACGAGACCATCGGTCGACCATCCGCGCTGATGGTGGGGACTCGACGACGAAGAGGTGGTGGTAGGGAGTTCGCACGTCGACCGGAACGGCCCTACCAAGTTTTATCCAACGATCCGGGAGGCTCGTCGAGGTAGTGGCCCGCGCCCCACAGCCGCGACAGCTCGAAGCGCGCGCGCCGCGTTTCTCCGCGTCGAGTTGCGCCTCTCATCGGACCGAGTGGAGTTGCGCGCGAGGGAACGGCGAGGCAGACGAGAGAGAGAAGGAGAGAAGCGTGGTGGCGGTGGTGTAATACAGTACACGGTGAAAGCGACGACCGCGCGTACCCGAGAGCCTCTCTCCCGAGGGCGCCACCCCAGCGAAAGGGGTCGTCGTCGGCGTGACGTTTCCGCGTTTCATCGCGAAATTCCGCGAGAGTGTCCGCGCCGTCCGAGAGCAAAGGAGTCCGAGTGCCGCTACGAAATCTCCTTATTTTCGGAGTAACCGTGTTGCTTTCTCCTGTGTCTTCCCCCGACGTTCGATCGTTACTCGAATCGCATCGGTGGATGCTCCTTCGACCCTCCGAGAAACGGACCTGCGGGTGAAAGTGCCCGGGTGGTAGTGCAGAGACGAGGACCTGTCGACGGGTTCTCGCGACACCGTCGTCCTTCCGGTATCCAATACCGGTTCCGGTGAACGTGGCGAGAGAAGCTGGCTGGTGCCGCGACTCCACAATTTCGCGGTTACCCGTCGAGCCGGAGAGATATACCTGGTCGCCCTGCCCAGTTGGAACGAGCGGCTGTTTTTTTCTGCCGAGCTGCCTTCACAGGGGTGGCGGAAAGGTTGATTGTACGCGCACACGGGGAGTGTCGCAGGTGCGGAGGAACTCGGGGATAGCGTACGCGCGAGGAGGGGTGTCCTCGCGCAACTCCCGCGCAACGTCGGAAACACCGAGTCCTGGGGAGGTGCCGTGATTCTCCTGTGTATGTGTGTATACGGGACGCATTAGCACCTGGCCATCGATACCGTACGTATCAACTTCCCATCTGAATCTAGAGCGCGACGCGAAGCCGCGTTACAGCCTCTCCTTAGGTTCTCTCCTACACCCCCAAACAGGTTATTGATTTTGCCCAAGTAAGGAGGTACAGATGTAGCCCCGTACGCCCTGCGGCCTGCGACCTGCTCTCTTTCACCCTTGTCCTCCACTCCCTTCTCTCTCTCTCTCTCTCTCTCCCCCTCCCCCTCTTTCTTTCGGTTATTCCTTCTGGTGCCTCATTCCTCTGTCCATCGCTGTCTGTTCGTCCATCCATCTATCGCGCCTTCATAGGGCGACTGTCCTTGATCCTGCGTATCTCTGAGACAGGTGAACTTATGATCCTTTTACAGAACACATACACACCCTTCTTTTTGAAAATGCGCGTGGCGTTGCTTGCTGTTCGGCGATATGTCATAAACCATTGCATCGCATGGAATGCGATATTCAATTCCTTCTTAAAAAGAAGGAGATGGCGGTGTAGACGTTTGTGATGCACAGCCGCGGTGTGTCTTACATGTGCGAATTATACTCTCAAAGGATATTTACTATTGGAGGTACTGCGCGTCGAAAGTTCGTTTAAGATGCTGGAAATCGCACGTAGGAGATAAAATGGATTCGCGCCGACCGGATCCTGCAAATTGCATTGACACGATAAACACGCTTCGGCATAATTGCAATTTATGTGATCGATGACGCGTTTATGCTTGTCAAAGTTTATCATATCGTTCTATGTTAAGATTCTTCGAGCAAAAAATCTCCCCTTAATTTTAATTCCCGCGAGAAATTATTCATTTTTAAATATAGATATCTCAAGATTTATTTCAGCCGAAATCTCGGCTAAACAAGCTGTTATAGTTCGCTTATATCAAGATTAAAGGCAATCGCAAAATGTCATAGCATGCCTCGAGACGGGCATGCCATCGATCACATCGGTATTGCGTGAATTTGTCGCATATATAGTCTCTATTTTTTCCGAAAGCATTCCATTTTATCACGAGAGCTTGTCGCATATCGTCGATATAGACTATACAACATACAACTCTTACGTGGCTCTAGAATATTTATATTCTAGTCTCTCAATTATTCATCCTCGACACATAATCTGTTGTCGTCAATTTTTAAATAAACATTCATATTGTACAAATATTCATATTGCATATCGATACGTATTTTCGAGAGTCAAAAGAGAACTCGCTCCTCGCACGTGTACAATAAAAAGATAATGAAAGATGTATGCAGAAGATTTAATAAGACTTTTTATATCAAATTTTTTCATTTCCTTTGACAATGTTACTTGATTAAATTTTTTTAAAAAATTACCCTTGTGAATTTTATACCGTCATCCATAATAGCTGTACGTAGCTTGTACGTGATTCTTGTTTTCCTCTTTTTTGAATAATTCGAAAAAAAGCCTTCGAAAGCTTTATTAATCTTTACTTTTTTTAGAGCAATATCACGTAATTGATTTTTTATTATTAAATGAACGCTAGAAAATTCATTGAACGATATAGTTTTCTTTAATTAAATTAAAATGTCATTTTCATAGCATATTTAATATTTAAATATCAGGTAAAATGTCAAGTTTAATAAACGACTGCATTATTTATAGCGGTATGACAAAGAAAAGAAGGAAAGCTTCCGGCTATTCTGTGCGTTCTCAATTTTGCCATATATATAAAGTTTCTCTTTTAAAAATAAATACAGATTGAAACAAAAAAATAACAAGTTATTTGAGAAAACGCATAAGCGCGATATAAAAAAAAAATTCTAAAAATAAAACACGCAAAATTCTTTCGTTTCCCGATATTCTCTCGGATCGCCAGAGGAATTATACCGACGTGTCAATGAACCTACGTGGCACATTGTGTGTGGAATAACGTGACTAAAGTGTGCTTCAGACAGTGGTTACGAGCAGATTCCGACTGACACCGAGGGATCGATCCGTCGGGGAACTTTTCACGGCGTTGTGTGGTCTTTCGCGAAACCGGCGACGACTCGTAGTAAATCAATAGAAGCCACGTGAACCGGCGACGAGACGATCGTTCTGTCACGCTCCGTCCGTAGAAGCGCGTCCTCCGCGAATTCGGCGAGCAAGCGGATCGATAATAATTCGGCTGAGGCCGCCTCCGCGAAGGATTTGACCCTTTGAACTCTCGACGGTTTCCCGGCCTGGCAATCGCTTCCTCTTATCGAGCCATTCTTGCGCAATATTTCTGTTAATATTAGTATTGGAGCCTGCCTGACCTTTAACAACATCATCGGAAAGTTTCGAGTAAACTTTGAGATTAACGGACGCTTAGAGAAAAACTTGTTTGCTTGTAACTGGTTTTTAATAGTAGGCAGGAAAAAATAGTTTCGAAAGATATCATTATCTATATGCTAATAATGTGAATAATAATGCCCGTTTTATGCAGAATTTTCCTCAAAATCATGTTTTTATGAAAGTTGCCTAAACCATCGTTCGTACGTTTTTATAACTTTCATATTCAGATTAGAATTTCTATTAGAATATTAAAATTAATTTTCTATTAAAATTCACTTAAATTTAAAATTTTGTTCTTATTATTATCTTTGTTATTTTAAACCTTTAAATCTTAGTTCGATGTACATATTTCGAAAAATTTTAAATCTTGAATATAACTCCATAAAAATCAATCTTTTTATAACCATTTTTCATAGAGTTTATTCTGTATATATAATAATGAAAACTAATATTTCTTTGATATATTTATATAAAATTTCTCAATAAATACAGTATTTTATCTGTATAAATATTTGTAAAGATAACTTCAATTATTTTAATAACATTTTTCTTTCCTCTTATCTCTCCTTGGATGTACTGATAAGTCGAGATTCGTAATAAGCGACGTGTGATTTGACGATGTAACTGCTTTTTGCATTAAATACTGATTACGCAGTTATTCAACGCGCAAATTATCAAATAAATATATGATAACACTCATAACATGCTTCTTATATAAAGTTGGCTAGCTATTCATAAAGGAATTATTCAGAAATCTAACATTAATCAAACATGACTAATGGACTTTCCGGATTTGTATGTATAATTTAACTACCCACTCATTTCTAAACACATTTGAATTACTCATTTAACATAATTATTAGAATATACAATCATCTATTACAATAAAATAATAATGTTGGGCACGTTTAAAATAATAAAGACGAGATGACTTGTTATTCGCGCAACAGAATTTTATTTCTAAGCTTCATCTGCCATATAAAATATGAAAAAATATTTTTAGAGGAATTTTTAAATGTATGTAAAAATGTATACACATGTAAAACTGGCTTTAAATATCGAATAAGCTTCACGCGAAACATTTTATAATCAATGTCAAGTTATATATACCTGTAATATTCCAAAAAATAATCTAGAGTCACTCCATTATCTTAGAAGCGGATCTTTAAGAGGCATCTCGATAAAAATAGCACATAGGCATGTCTGACTTGCCGCATCCGACAAAAGTATCGCAACTATTTCTGAAATTATTTGGCACGAGATACATTAGCGACGTGTCTAGAATACTTTGCAACGTCGAAAAAAAATCACAAACTTGCAGATTGTATCAAAAAAAAATATCAGCATGCATTCGTGTCCATTTCGTGTCCATTTCATCGTTGGTCATGTTTCCATTATTTTTTTTTTCTTCTTTTAAATAAAAATACAATTACTTGGAGATGGAAACATCCCGACATTTTCGATGTCACTTTTGTGAAAGCGTTATTTCGCGTCGCTCGCATGAGATGTTTGCTTTAATGACAGCGTAAGTAAACGTGTAGTCGGCGCTTTCAAGTTAATCCTGAAATTGGAGTGATTCGTATAATTTCCTCGCTTTTGAATGCCCCGCAAAATAGGATTTATCTCTAAATCCTCGACGTGTGCCCAGCGGGAGAGCGGGGGGAAGGGCGAGAACGGTCAATAGTCTCGAGGTATAGCATCGTGGCCGCAGTAACTATATTCCTAGACGCGCAATTTAATTGCTTTCGTGGCATCGCATCGCGGGGCTTCATGCTCATGTCCTTCTCTATTTCTCGTTTCGATGGAAATCTGATTGTCTAACGAAAGCGACGATAATCTAGGGAGATACAGCGACGATGATGATTGCCGGCTGATGACTGCACGGATGGCGATCCATCGGAGCGTCGGGTTAATTGCTTTCGTCCCATCGAATCACCCGGTCCTTGTTTTTCGTTTCTCGTGTGTGCGGGTCGTTCTCGTAAAATCGATTTATCAATACAATTCAAATATCTCGGCGAAAATGTCAATAATATCGAGGTAAAATGCGATGTCATCGCGGTCACTATAGCTTCCAGGAAATAAAGGCGGATTGGCCTCGTCGGATAATGCAAAGGGTGAGATAAAATAAAATGAAAAAAATTATTACTTATAGGCACAGAAATATGTGGCTATACATATAAGTAGGAATATTGTCATATATTTTCACGCGGATAATAGACTCTAAATTGAGATAGATGTGGAATGTCGATACAAGAATTGAGCTGTAAGGATACAAACGGACAATATTCTATTCGTTAATTGATTTCAAGCAAATAAATTTTTATTAAATTTTATTAGATTAAATTTATTAAATTATATTAAATTTTAATTTAACATGACACACATAATGTTCGACAAAGTGTTATATTTATCATAAAATTTTCATTAGGAAAAATTGGATTTTGAATTTATTAGAGAAATTCGAACATCGAAAAGACCGATAATTGATTGGATGGTAAAGTGGATATTGCATTATCCTTATTTGTTAACATTTAGCATATTAATCTCAGAAATGAGCATCGGGAAACCGTAATATCTAAACGGAATTTAGGATGTTTGGAATATCACGTTTGGATCCGTAATTCATTCGGCTAATACAGCGCAGTATATATTGCGAAACTATCGATATTCTCTCGAAAAGCGGCTCGAAAAGCACGACTGTGCGACTGCAGTATTGTCGTATTGTAGA